GAGAGAGTTTCTAGTCTCTAGGGTTTAGCAGAAAGAGGGATGATTTCTTTGGAATATGCTAGATGTGAGGGATAGGAGGATAGTGTGTAAAGAAATCATTTGAGGGAGAAAATCAACCATGATCTAGTTCAATGGTGGAGCAGGTTCAAGGGCTGAATGACCAACCTGCTTCTATTTCCTCAGGTCCTATATTTGTTTTCAATAAACTAAAATATAGATTCTGTTTTACAAAACAATACATTTTTGTACCTACCAAGTGATGAAGTCAAATATTCTCTGTTCAGTGATATTTTACACTGTTGTGCTTTGCATTCAAGAAACCTTCAGGAAATGTAATAGATTTGTTATGTTTGCATCAGCTTCTCTAATATATAATCAAATTTACTGTTTAATAAATCTACATTGTACTATTCCAGTGAGTGTTCTTGAGACACCTAGGGTGTACGTACCTGTTTTTTTTGTGGGCGACAGGTAAAATTCAGAAGGCTTTTCTTTTCAAAAAGGACTCATCCTTAGCTTTATAAGTAGGCATAGAGTAATGCAAGGAGATGCTGCAAAACCTTTAAAAATGGCAGGTTGGGTCCCAACTGTAGTATTATGTCAAAATTAGATACCATACTTCAGGAAAAAATTCAAAATCTTCAAGACAGTACAGAAGAAATTTATTGGAATGGCACGAAGATGCAGTGACAGGGGAATCTGAGACTGTTTCCTTTAGAGAAGAGGTTTATAAGGGGAAATTTAACGGAGGTGTTCAAGATCATGAAAGGTTTTGATAAGTAAATAAGAAGTAATCATTTCCAGAAGCAAAGGGTAAGTAACCAGGTTTCAGGTATTTGACAAAGAAGCCAGGTGGAAAATGAGAATTGGTGTTATGTAAAAAGTTTTAAGATTTCTATGGTTTTGCACTAACTGAAAGATCAGTGGAAGCAACTTAAACAATAACTTTCAAAAAGTTATTGGATAAGGGGAAAGATTTGTACAGCTGTGGGGAAATGGCAATGGGAATAGAATAAATTGAAGGAATTGTCTGAAGAGAGAACGAAAGAACATGAGCACTCATAAAAGCTGTCAGTATGATAAAACATAGCCAACAATCTCACTTTCTCAAAAGATGTACTTCAGTTTTCTAAAGCCCAGCTCTACATACTTGTCACTATAGGTCTGGCAGCGTTAGAGAAGTGATAAGCTGTTACGGTTCAGGCCTGTGACTGTTGATCAGAGCTGGGAAAAGAAACTGAGATGGGGTTTTAAAAAAAAACAAAAAGGAGTCTGTGATCATGTGGAATGTGTAAAAAATTAAATGTCTAAAAGATTCGTGGTACAAGCCAAAGGGAGTCATGATGGGACAAGTAAAGAAGTAAGATATTTCTAGAGAAAGAATGAACCACAGAATTATGAATGGCTGGCAGGTGAAAGATATGTAAGGTAAAAGCGAGATGGAAAAAAACAAAAAGAAAATATAAAGAAAACAAAAAGGAGGTAGAGTTTATGATCTAAAATTCGTGAACTCAAAGGGAGCCAACAACCAGACCAGTTAAATGTCCAGCAGAAAGATGAGCTTCATCACTGGAATGCAGCAGGAAGCTCATGATAGCAAGTTCAGAGTGCAAGCAAGGTGGAGAATTAACATGGCAGACAACTCAGATTTGTGGGCTGATTGGAGGTGTTCTGCAAAGTGGTCACCCAGTCTGCATTTGGTCATCTCATTATTGAGAAAACCATATCACAAGCAGTAAATGCAGTGCTAAATTGAAAATACGTGAATCACTGGTTCATCGGAAAGCATTTTTTGAGACCATGATGGTGGGAAGGGAAGAGATAAAAGGGCAGCTTTTGTTTGTGTGAAATTGTACTGTGGGGAAAGGGGAGACAGTAAAGAGTAGACCAGGGAATTGTGTGGAGAGCAGATCCTTCAGACTGCTGACGGGGGGCACTTTGACATCTCCAACACCCCACCCTTCCCATTAGCACCTTACCATATAATTGCAGAAGATGCAACATATGCTGTTTCAGCTATTCCCTTCTCAATGTCTAAGGCCCCAAATCATTAACAATTAAACTTGTTCTTCTTTAAATTTAGCATGCTATATTCTCTGCTCATGAAATGGCCTCCCCATTGGAGACAGCAGAGTGGGTAACCGCTTTGCAGATTATCTCCATCCAAAGTGCAAACGTAACCCTGACTTTACAGCTGCCCATTTAACTCTCCATCATACTTTCCTTCAGATCTGATATGATAGACATGTTTTCAGACACTGCTTAAACAAGGCTGAAACTGCCTAATCAACTATATTTTAATAAAATGTGCAAAGGAAAATGCTGGTGCTGAGTTCTTTCACTGAAACATTATTTGCTGGGGTGGAATGCCATAGAAGAAAGCTCCACAAGTTCCAGCAAACTTTCAGTATTTTAGCCATATGATCATGCGTAATTTAATTCTGTAAACTGTATGTCAGGTATTGCTTCCCTGGTTGAGCGTGTTCAGCGAAAAGCACTAACGTTGTGGTGGTTCCAGTGAAGCTGTTTGGAAACTTTCAATCTGTTCACAAACATGACTCTGAGCTACCACGCGCATCTCATGTTAATCCTTCACATTGCTGCCAATCAGACCTTGCTGACCTCAACTTCCTGCTGTGAGCTCAATCCCAGTTTGAGGAATAGCACCTCAGTGCGCACTTTTCAACTTTCTGGATGCGACAGTTTTAGAACATTGAATATGCCCTGTTTTTGTTTCCTTCTCTATGCTGGTTTGTTTTTTGCTGTTTTTGTTTTTGGATGGCAACTGTTCATAATCTTGCCATTAACATGTTCTCTTCTAGACGTATCTTTCATTTCTTCACTCATACCATAACCAGTCCCTTTGGCCTTGCACCTCATACCATGCAATGTTTTTTTCATTAATCTCTCCAACCTTAGCATAGATATTTCATTTTGTTCTTTCCCCAACATCTCCCTTTCACTTGTTCAAAACTTTTTACATTCTGATGAAAGGGCATAGATCTGAAACATTGACCCAGTTTTTCACCATGAGGAGACCCTGTCATGATGAAGACGTTGAAGACATCCAAGTCCCATCTCGTAGTCATAAAGATCTACAGCACAGAAAAAAGCCCTTTGGCCCATCACAACTGTATTGTTCAAAACCAGCCACTGAACTATTCTAACTTGGCCCATAGCCTTCTATGTTTTGGCATCACAAATGCACATCTAAATACTTCTCAAATGTTATGAGGGTTTCTGCCACTCTTACGGGTGGAGAGTTCCAGATTCCTACCACTCTCTTGCTGAAAGTTTTTCCTCATGTCGCCTCAAACTTCTGCCCTATCTTAAATGTATGCACCGCCCAAATTGATCCCTCCATCAAGAGGAAAAGTTTCTTCCCGTCTAGGCTATCCAAGCCCCACACATTTTATACATCTCAATTATGTCCCCTCTGTATCTCCTCTGCTTCAAGGTAAGCAACGCCAGTCTGTCCAATCTCTCTTCATAGCTGAAACTGTCCAGCCAAGGCAACACCCTGGTAAATCTCAGCACCCTCTCCCTCCTTCACTGTGGATTCCAGAACTGCACACACCAAGGTGCTTCCCATGGCCTACCCATGTTTGTCTTGCCCAAGCGCATCATCTCACATTTATCTGGATTGAATTCCATTTTCCATTGATCAGTCCATTTGACCAGCCCATCAAAGAGTGGTGGGTGGAAGTAGGCATTAAGTTGGCATAGGGAATCTGAGCAGCCATGGGCAATGAGTAAAGGGGTATGGGCTGACATAAAGCATATTAGGGGCTAGGAGAGGTGAGTGGAGATCTTTAGGTGGCTTGGCTTTGGTGAGGCTTGGGGAAGTCTGTAGGATTGAAGGTAAGTAAGTGCTGATGGAATATTTCAATATTTGGTCATAGTGCTGCAGCCCTGAGCCAGGCTTCGTGCTGAGCCCACTTCGGGAACCGGCAGCCTATCAATCCAGATTGCCTAAAGGTTGAGATAGGAGATCTACCTGACCCAGGAACAAAAATCAGCATCATTAACTCTTTTCCCCATAGATGTGCAATAAGTCATACAGCCTGCTATGTTTATTTCAGATTTCCAGCAGTCACAGTACTTGTGATCAGGGTCTAACAGATGAAAATATTGGTTTTGAAAGTTTGGCGTATGGTTGGAATGCCACCTGATTGCTTCACAAATCGGATGCATTTCTTTCAGTATCCTTTAGGATTTGGAGGCAAGAGGCTAAATCAAATCTACAGATATGAGAGTTGCAAGCAATCCACCTGTCAGCAAGGGTATTAAGTCTCATGCATACATGTCTCAGTGGCTGAAATACAAATCCTCCCACTGTTGTCAACTTGTGAAACTTCAGATATTTGGAAAATGAAATACCGCACTGAAGAAATCCATCACCTTTTTAACTGTTTCTTTGTAACCTGTGATGATACAGTAGCTGTGAGAAAGTGCATCCCTTCTCCTAAGTGAAATATCTGGGCAGTGTCAATTTGAACATAGATACTTGAATCCACAGAAGCAAAGATTGTAGAATACTGATTAGCAAATGAGATCATACATAATCGTGATATTTCATGAAACTGATTTCAGTCATGTGGGCTGCCAAGTGGGGGGAAATGATTGATTAACCTATTGTTCCTAACTGTGCTACCCTAAATGTAATTCCACACTGCGGTTGACACCTGATGTTTTCTGAAATGGCCTAGCAACCTGCTGTGTTCATCCAGCTCTACACCGTGTTATCTCAGATTCTCTAGCATCGGCAGTTCCTACTATCTCTGTATCAGGTTTAGCCATGTTGGGATGGGAAGAAATTATGCCCTTGTCATCGTGACATTTTTCAGACATACTTTGAAAAATGATAATCAATTTGCTTTTCTATGTAAGCTCTTAAAATGCCTCTGCCAAAAAAGAGGTGTAGTTCTAAACATAATACAGTGTAATCCAAATTTAGATAGTTGTTTTGTCTTTATTTTACATTTTTAATCCTATCCCAGCTGTCAAGTTGCCCGCCAGTGATCTTCAATCCACTACAGCAGCAACAGCTCCCCCAGTTTTCTCAGCAACAGTCATCCCAGCAGTCTGCAATCTCCAGCCCTCAACAGCAGGGAGAACAGGTGCATTTTCTTTACATGTTACAAAACTAGTAACTTGACTCACTAAACAGCAGGCTGCAGGACACAACAATGTGGTTGTAAATGCAGCTTTTGAAATGACAAGAATGTAAATCTTGAATATGGGGAAACTAAAGCTACAAGGGCTGGGATTTTCCACTTAACACACTTGCCAGCACATGACATTCCCTCAACTGTTTCTTGATAATGGACAGCAAAATTGAAACTGACAGACACTCAAATTTGCTTTGCAATAATGGTGAAAAGATGTCATATTCTAATTTATGATTAACATTCGCAAGCTTACTCTGTAGTATCAATGTAGAATCAATCTCCCTTGAGAAAATTGATTTGCAAAGTATAATTTTTAATCTGAAAACATTTTTAAAAATATTTTGGATTAAATATAATATTGCTTCATTAAAATAGATTAATATCTAGCATTGTCAACAAATCAAATAAATATTGTTAGCATATTAAATCATTACTTAAATCAATGAATAAATTTGAATGCTAATATTAAATTAGGAAATATTTGAATATTTTATACATCGTTCTGTTTGCTTGGAGGTGGTCATTTCATGGTTACAATGAACCATAACCCTGGTCAAATTCCCTGGCTAGGACTGGAATGAACCTTGGTCTTCAATTACTTAACTCTCCTCAATATCAAAACAATATTGACACTTATTTGATGCTTTTTGTGTCCAAGGGGGTGCATCAGTCTTAATTTGTATTATAATAGTGACATCCATTAATTAAAAAGTCAATGCTCAATCTATTTGGTGTCTATTTTGACATTACATTCCATTACTTGTAAAGCTAGTGATACTAGAGGTGTCCTTTTACAAATGTTCATGTACAGAATTTAATCATTTAATTATGATGAAGTTTATTTCAGACCAATAAACTTTTAGGATCACTTGAGTCTTCTTGCTCGAAAAAAAAGCCAAAACCAGCTGAGAAAAGTTGAAGAATGCAATGTAAAAGCAAAAGTTTCTTGCATCACAAAAAAAAAGCAAGTGGGCCACACAGGAGATCAAAGGTTGAAACCTGTAACTTGAACATTAATTGGTCTGTCTCGAGCCACTTATATTACAACAGTCCTATACCTATAAACCTATTAACATAAAAATTAAGAGATTTCTACAAGTTTTATTTCACGTCCCACATCCAACTGCAAATCTTAGAGCAAACAGCAGTTACCCTGGCCAATAATTGTACTGTATAACTTAGTCAGTCATTCACTTAAGTGGTTAATTGTTCCAGGATTCATTTTCACTGTTATTGCCGAATGTTAAGCCATGTTATTAAATCCACAAAAATTCAGCAGTACCAATGGCAAACTTTCATGGCAAATGGTTAAAAGTTGCTTTATTTGTGTTGGCTTGGGTAAGACGGGTTGTTGTATTGCTTTTTAAAATGCATGATGCTTCCCTTTTTTTTGCAAACTTCAATGTCGCACTAAACTAGGATTGTCTTTCATGTTTCCTTCTAAATATCTTCATTCATTCTGGATACATTTTCTCACTTACTACTAGGCTGTTCCTTCAGATAAATTGTTACAATTTGTGTCCCAGAGAGCATTGTTTGCTAGGGGTTTGAACAATCCTTATGTAAATGAACGTATCAAGATAATTTGTTTGAAGAGCTACTTCTGAGGTAGAAGACAATGCCTTATTCATTTTTGAGGCTAATTCCTGGGAGTAAGCATACTGCAAGCTTGGAGTCCAGTTCAGCATACAATTCCTACATTAAGGATTAGTTTTCTCTGATAGAAAATGTAATTACTTTCCATCAGCCAACACTGAACTAATTAAATCCAGTCCTTGTTACCTGCATAAGCATAAAGATTAGGTTTCTGGAAAATGAACGGATGGTGTACAAACTATGGGATGATTATTCTGAATCTTGTATTCTGAATCAGAGGAGGTTTACGTTTGGCAAATTGTTCCTTTGGCAACGGTTGCTGAATCTTCAGAATAGTTTGTGGCTACATCAGCTTTAAATTATCCATTAAAATACTGATTCCTTGGTATGTATCACTGTGGTTCACTGAAGTTGAAATCCATGAGATTTAGTCTAGAAAAATGTTCAAATGATAAATAGTACTTCATACTGATGCAAATACCACAGAACTCAGATGTAGGAACTCTGTTCTGTCCAGCAGAATTCTGACCAGGCTCCAGCTAGCCAGGAGCAGGCTTTAACAGCTCAGCAGACTGCAGTCATCAACCTGGCAGCAGGTTTTGTGCCTCCACAGGCTGCAGGTACATACTGTTACTTTCACCTTTACACTTGTGTTCTTTTCTCTTCCTTTTATTTCTGTCTTCAGTAACTTTCTTTCAGAAATGCCTGACTAGTTTATCAGCCTTATATTTTGCACCCATGAACAGCTAATGATTTGTTTCTCCTCCCTGACCCATCCCCACCCCCACCCCCACCCCCTTGGAGTCTTGTCATGCCACTTTCAGTCAAACACAGATTGCTTGACAGTGCACATATTAAAAGGATTGCACCAAGTGTTTGAAAGCCTGAATGCATGAATTTATTTTGTTGCACATAATACTTTCCCTTGAGCTTTTTCCCCTTCCCTTACCCCACAAATGTCTGTTGCTTTGCACAGTAATTCTTCATGGTGGTTTGAAGAGTGTACCAGTCCATTTCCATTTATCTTCGAGTCGCTGATTATACCAAGTATTGTGGAGGTCTGACTAATCAATTGATCAGCATGCATATTTCCATTAAAATTGAAGCTGTTTAACCTTGAGTACTGAGTGTGCATCATTTTGTTATAATGGGTGTCAGAAGATTGATGTGTTCATACTATTTTCCATAAATTCAGAAAGTAAACAGATGTTTTGAAACAAAACTTGAGTCCTGAGAAACATGAGCTATCTTATTGAGTTTCTATTATCTGAAATACTGTTAAAGCTTGCGAAAGCTTCCACAGCTGTTTGCTAAGATACTTCCAACTGAAAACTTGCAAATCATTTTTTAATAACAACGAATTAAGTGCACCCTCAGTATATTTAACAAATTACAGATATGTAATCTTGTTACATTCCATAAAATTACTTAGCTATGTTTCTGATTTAGACTAATAGGTGAATTCTACTGATCCCCTTTCTGTTACAATCTTTCCCTATCCTGGTTCCCTCCCTCCTTCTCCCTCTACCTATCTCCCTTGTAGTGTTGTCTCAGCTTGGCTCTGCTGTGAACAGACCTGGGCAAAGCCTTCCTCAGCAGAGACTCCAGCTTACATCTGCCTTGCAGCAGCAACAGCAACAAGCCTTGCAGCAGCAGCAACAGATACAAGTAATCCAGCAACTTGGCTACAATTACATGAAATAAAAAATTCTCAGCTCCAAAATAAAGAATGGAGAAAAGTCTGAGGTGCTGCCCAAAAATCTAAAACATTTTGTTTATTTGAATCTGAAAAGGGTTAGCAGTCAAACTTGGGCAATCAGGATGCAATTATTTAATCACTTTGGAGCACTGAATTTACATTAATGACATCCTAGCCATCCACCTCTTTCTCTTGTACTTATGCTCAAGAGTGCTTGTGGCACATTGAAAGAATGAGAACCACTGCAGGCAATGTTATAAAGGATACTGCTCACAACCCCTCCCAAAAAAAATTTAAAAAATTTTTTTTTTTTTTTGCATACCTGCAGTTGGAATCGTCAACTGTGCGTTATGGAAATAACTTTCTATACAAGATGCTAGTGCTCAATATGATTTCATTGCAATTTGCCTTGGGTTAATGTTGTTATGCTTTTTAAAAAAAAGTCATAGCACAATTGAAATGATTTGAAACAACAAAATATACGATTGTTTAACTTGGGATAGTACACTCCATTACAGTACTGAGCCTAGCACAGACGCCTCTTAGAAGTTGCTGACTTGCTGCGGTTCTGTTACCATCTACATCTGCATCCAACTGAAAATACTAAAGCACATTTAGATCTGACGTTGACTAACAAGCATGCAGTTAGCTCTGCAAGAACGTGTGTCAAATTGTCTTAACTCTTCTGTGCCACTGGTGCTGCTTGACTGTAGTCATTAAATTTGTGGGTTTAATTTTCTTTTTCTGTCTCCATCCTTAAACACTTCCAAAATGTTTAAATTGATTCATCTCTTTGCTGTCAAGCCTGCAATTTGGTCATCTGAACATTTTTCTCCAAGTTTTACGAATGTGTTCTTTTGTTCCCCTTCCGTTCCCGGCAGCAGTTACGATACTTGCAACGTCAAATGGCTATAGCAGTTCAGCTTCGGCAACAACAACAACAGCAACAACAGCAGCAGCAGCAGCAGCATTCAGGCAGCCAGTCAAAAAGTAAAAGGAAAAGAGGAACTCCTACTCCACCAAAATCATGAACCATCTCATGTTTCTAACTTTAAGATTACTTACTGAACTTATCTCTTGTGATGGTGCATTTTTTTTAAAAAAATATTTTTAAAAATTAAACCTAACCATTGTATATAAGTCTTTGTTTCAGCAAAAATTCATTGTTAACTTAGTTTAAAAATAACTTGTACATGATTTCAAAGACAAAAATTGATTTATTGTACAGTCAAACTTTCAACAGGATTAACTCTTCACTCTTTCACATTTATTGTGGGTGTTACACTCTTCATTACTTCAGTGAGCAGTTTATGGACTTCTCGGTGTCTTGTTTGTGCACGAACAATACAATCCTGGAGTTTTTCACTGGAGAGACCACTCCCCCCTCCATATGAAAAGAAAAAGATAGAATGATTAGCAACTACAGTCAGTTCTTCATATTTAAATCATTGTTAAAACAAAAATTCAAATTACATGCTGAAATATTACTATCAAGTACAGGTCTTTTTCAAAAGTGTCTTCTACATCTTATTTAAAGGTTTTCTAATATTGCAAAACTAAAACGAATCCTTGCACAGAACTAACAAGGAACAACAATGAAGTACAACTGAATTATCAAATACCTGATGTCTGAAGTAATTGCACTTGGGTGAATAAACATTCTCTACTTTCTAAAAAAAATCCTGGTGGCTAAATCCAAGGTTTTTCACTAGTAATGATTTTACAACGTATTCTTCCAGAAGTTGTAACAGATCCTTAGGCAGAATCACAAGGATTTTTTTTTTGGGGTGGAGATAAGGACAGGAAAGAGAAAATGAATCAGAGCCTTCTTGTGAACTGACTGAAGGCCTAAATAAAGGGACTTAAAGATAATGCCAGAATTACTGCTACTGCTGTATTATGAGGGGAAAAAAAAAGTTGATGGAAAATGATTTGAGATTTTTTTGGTGGGGAGGATCTGGGGCAGGCCTTTATAAATGATAGGGTGGATCATATGCAAAATCAAGCTCATAAGGTCAATGGAACATAGAAGAAAAGAAGATCAGAAGCAACAGAAACTTTTGATAATAGACTGGATGTGTGGAATGAAATTGCACTCCTCATGAAGTGGTACACCATCACTAGCCTGAGCAAGTAGTTTTAAATTGCCATGATAGTTTATTGCTTGTGTGAAGGAACGATTACTTTGCTGTCAGTTTTGTCATTACGTTATTCACTTCTTTTTCAACTGGAGGAAGTATACTTATAAATAAATACTCTTCTGTCAGAACTGTATAGGGTCACGTACTAGCCTGTTATCTAATTCTAAACACAAGTAACAAATGTTTATTAAACTAAACTAACCACCCAAGAGGGCTAGCAGATGGCATGTGGTGATATTTTTCAGCAGGCACAAGACAATACCAACTGGATAAAGGATGTCAGTCTAACAAAATGATGCAAAAGGACAGATTATGCCAAATCAGGATTACTTAAACTAGCGTTTTATATTAACACACCTGGTTTATGAACAGCACAAAGCCTATCCTCTTCATCAGTGACTATTGTAGCCATCCCTGATGCCAATGTCTCCTCCTCTGCTGTTGGATCGACAATGAATATTGTGCTTTAAAATAAAAAAGACATGCTTTTAGAATAACTAAATTATCAGTTTCACCCACACAAACTTGCTTCCTAGCTTCAGTAATTCATATTACAGTAATAGCAAAAAGATTGGAAATTGCAGATCTTCAGCTATAATGCAAACTTATAACTGTGTATGCATACAGGCAAGTAAATATGCAACAGATTTCAAATAAAATTGCAATAAGAAAAAGATAAATCTTCACTAAGCAACAAAGTAACATGCCTTGGCATCATAGTGATGTTCAGATTGTATAATGAATTATAATAATCCCCAAGAGTATCTGACATTTACCATCTGATGGAAAAAAAATCAAAGTACAGTGAAGTATTTCTATTAAAATATTATTTAAAGAAATCAAAAACTTGGCATTTGGAATATTTCAATTTCTGATAATCTTGTTTTGTTTATTTATAGAGACCTTAAAATAATTTTATTTTTTAATAAAAAATACTAGCAAGAGGTCTGAGTGGTGGAAAACAGTTGGATATTGGTCATTCATTGACTTCGTTTGATAGGACAAAAACTCCTTTACATATTGCCTAGCACCTTTCATGGATATCAATGCCTTCAGAACATTCTGAAGTCTTCTACTCCTCCCCTCGTGGAGGCCAGGTCAATGTCCAACCACCACTGCCCTCCTCCACCCTGCTGAACTTGTTCTCACATTAAGTGATTTATTCTTCAAATCCACTTATTCTCCAAATAAAAGGTGTGGAACATTCTTCTTTCTAATCCCTCACACTCATAAGTGTTTGTATAAAAAGGTATCCGTCATTCCCTGCTCTTGCCTTGAAATTTTAATCGGCTTTGCTTCCAAATTTTAACTTTCTTTTGCATTCAAATAGTCCACCTCCTACTCTTCCCTGATTTCTTTGCCTCTGTTTCCAGTGATAGCCTCCTAATCTCCATTCACCAAAAGCAAAAGACAGTACCTCCAATGCAGCACTTTTTCGAGAATTGTGCTGGGATTTTAATCTTGATTCAGGTGACTATCAGCAACCAAGTCAAGCTTAACATATTGCTATCTCACTGAGCCAACTGACTAAGTGACCTTTCAAAAACACAAGGTTCAAATATCAGGAAGTTGTATTACTATTTCAACACACATTGAGCAAATTTGATAGAAACATAAAGGGTAGCTGGAGTAAGTCACTTAGCTCTGAGTTTGCTGTGCCATGCAACAAGATTTTGGCTGATATTCTATCTGAATTCCACCTTGCTGCAATATCCACTTCTCCCTTAATGCTCTACAATTTATTGATTTGAAATGTACATAATAAAGAATTTTTCCTCATCTCAGCCCTAAATTACTGATCCCTTCTGAGACTGTGGCCCTGTGTCCTAGATTTCCCTACCATCCAGGAAAGTTTCCCATAATAAATGAGATCACTTTACTTTAAAACTCAAGGGAATATGATTCTAAGTGTATATCATTTTTCCTCATATACCAAACCCCCTTATGCAGTAAATCTGACTATTGGACCTTCATTGTCCTTCTAGGACAAGCATGTCCATCTTTAGGGAGATGAAAATTTTACATTGTACTCCAGGACTTTGATATGTTTATTGTTTTATGCTAATCCCTTTATTATAAACACACATACACTCAACAAAGCGAATACTATGTGTGGTAACTTTGTGCTAGCTTTGAGAGTCATGAAGAAGGACACTCCAGTTCATCAATTCACATATTTCCCAGTCTTTCACCATACAAAAAACACTTTAGTTTTCCTACCAAAATGAATAACTTCAACACTGCATTCCATGTGACATTCTGTCCCTCTCATCTAAGCTGACTTTACCCCTCTGCAACTTCTTTGTATCCTGAGGTTAGTTTCTCAACTAACTTTCAATCTGCAGCAAACTTGGATAGGTCAGATTCAAATCTCCTCATTGTTAATAGATTATAAACAGCTGCATTCCAAGTATTGATCCTTGTTCTAAACTGCTAAATACAGGCTGCTAACCTAAAACTGTTCTGCTCAGTGGTTTCTGACCATTAACCAAACCTGAATCTGAGCTGACATATTACTCCAATTCCATGATCCTAATTTTGTGAATTAACCTCTTGTGTAGTATCTTATTAAAAGATTTTCTAAAATCCAATTGGTCTTTCAATAATCTCTTCCTACATCCATAAAATATTTCTGTTTTCACCCATTCTTGCCAAGCAACTGTCCTATTATTTTTTCTTATTCCTTATGATCTTCTTGGTCCTTTGAATCATAGAATCCCCACAGTGCAGATAGAGGCCATTTGGCCATCGAGTGTGCACAGACTCTCCAAAAAGCAGCCCACCTTCACCACCACCCCCCCACATCCCAATCCCCGTAACCCCGCATTTCCCATGGTTAATCCACCTAACCTGCACACCCCTGGACACTACAGGGCAATTTAGTACTGCTAATTCACCTTACCTACACATCTTTGGAGGAAACCAGAGCACCTGGAGGAAACCCATGTAAACACAGGGAGAATGTGCAAACTCCACACAGACAGGCACCTTTGCCAAATAAAACCCTCAAACCTCTGACTTACTATTCTTTGGAAATGTTATAATCCTTTAGTTCCTGTTGTTAACTCTAGTTAATCCATTTTTTTGCATTACAGGTATGTACGTTCGTTGCAAATTATATATTAATTGTATTTCTAAACTCTAACCAAGAAAATTAAAACACTACTTACTTATACTTTAATTTACTACTTTTTTCTATTATATTTCCAGTGAAATAAAGATGGAGAATGATCTCTACCCATCACAGAGACAAAGTTGGGCAGATTCACTGAGGATATTGAATATCTTAGAATAAAAAGGAGATTGGAGATAGAGAGTTGAACACATCCAATCAGTGCAAAGCAGCAATCAACTTCGCCAATACTGAACTATGTAGCCAAAACAGTAGGAGTAAATTCAGAGGAAATCATGCTTAAAACTATATAGTGCACTTGTTCAATTCTGGTCATGAGAAAAATTAGAAATTCAAGTTGGGAAAGACTTCAGGCAAATTTTAAAAAGAAGCTATAAAATTAAACAAAAAAGAGCGACTTTGGTTTTTCAGTCCTACAAAGAGATTTCCTGAGTGATTCTTTAAATTTGGAAAGCAAGAGGAGGGGACACTAACTCAAACTAGTAAAATTTAGGACTGACGTCAAGATAGAATCACAGAGTCCCTACAGTGTGGAAACAGGCCCTTTGGCCCAACAAATCCACACCGACCCTTACACCGTAACCCACCTAATCTACATATCCCTGAACAGTACAGGCAATTTAGTATGGCCAATCCACCTAACCTGCACATCTTTGGACTGTGGAAGGAAACCGGAGCACCCGGAGGAAACCCAAGCAGATATGGGGAGAATGTGCAAAGTCTACACAGACAAGTCGCCCGAGGGTGGAATTGAACCTGGGTCCCTGGCATCGTGAGGCAGCAGTGCTAACTGCTGAGCCATCATTATGTTATAGTTCACAAAGGTAGCAATGCAAGAAATAGATCTGCAGGTGGAGCAGTGGGCA